GAATGAAACAGTGTGGAACTGAGTAAGAAGCAGGAATAAAACAGAGTGAAGTATGGATGAAGTTGGAAGAGTGAAGATAAGGAGCTGTAACGCATTGCAGACAGTCTGTGACAGGAATCTGGAGAAGTTCAAATATGGTTGAAAAGTGTGATACAAATGCTGAAGGCTTTATTCTGTCATTAATTTTGGTCATTTATTGTATTTAATTTTCATACTGAGCTATGGCCCTCTACTGCAGTCTTAAGAAACATACACTCATGCTATATGTGACATAATAGATGAAAGTATACCCAGCTGACTAGGAAACCTGCTGCCAGTTTTAAGTGACTTAGGCATTCTGAAGCCCAAGTCTTAACAGAGAGTGACAGAGTTGCTTTTGAAAGTGGGATCAAGGCTGCAAAGCCCTATGACTTACTTTTGAAAAATATACTCTAATTCTTCACCTGTCTAGCAGAACTACACATGGTTTTATCTTTAGTATGATCTAGTGGTGACCCATTGGACCAAAACCAGTTCGTAGTACTTTTCCATCTGTCTTGTTGCCTTTTTCTGCATTAGGGCCTGAGATATGCTGTTAGGGCAATGTATCCTGCACTAAAAGCCAAATACAATCCTGAGTGCTTAAGTACAGCCCAGTGCGGAGTCAGCCAAAGATTGTTGCTTCTACCGTTCACCAGTGCCACTTGCACTGGCAAATGAGGCTGCTCTTGAACACTAAGATTAACCTCCCACAGCAGTCAGCATGTTGAACCATCTCATCTGCAAATATATTGCATGTAGGATCCTAAAGCTATAGGCCAAAAGCTTATTGTGGTAGATACTATATAAACTGCACAACGTCTGTCCTTTCCCAGATAGATTGCAATTAGAGTATAAAAGGAGAAAATATCTTGTTATAGAATGATCCAGGAAATGTTAAGTCAGTGTTGATTTGCAATGGTCTTCGTGTACCATCAATGTGACTTGTCAAGATTTCTTTTAGACCTCAGGAAAAAAACATTTGAGGGATTGAAAGATTATGATGAGGTATATTCAGACTTGTTCATGGGAAGCATCTCCTGAACATGGAAAATGCACCAAAAAAAATTGAGGTTTGTGATCTCTGGGCAATAGTATCCAGATGTATCTATCACTTGCAGTCCAGAACCATACTAAATGAAATTTGCTAGACAGAGCAAAGATGAAATAGGCTTTGAAGGACCTTGAAAGTGAAGACAAGCAGTTTAAGCACCCTTCGACGCCGTTATAGTGTAATACAGTAGGTATTTTTTTTATGTGAATCTCCCTGCTATGTCTGATGTGCTTTAGGTTGCACCATACTTTGCCTGCAGGGTACAGATCTTAACTTCCTTCTTAAAGAACCATAGAAAAAATAAATCCAATGGAAGCAGGTGAAGAAAGGGGTGGCTGAGTACAAACAACTGTCTACCAAAGAGAATGTCTTTGGAGCAACAGATAGCTTTCCTTTTCTTTCTAGGATGTGAATTACACATAATGAAACTAATATATAGTGTAGAAATAGGAATTCAGAAGGTATAGTTTTTCTGTGGCTACTTCTTATGACTCATTGGCTATGATCATATAAACAGAAAACGCTTAATAGAAGCAAATGTTAAAAATATTTGCTAATCCTCCTTCTAATCCATTCATCTACTGATTTTGCTGCCATCTTACAAGTGAGATATGAGTTATCTGTGACTATCAATGGGTAGCCAAGGAGTTTTGTAAAAGTCTTAATTTGAGACTTAATTTTTGCAGCCATTGAATCTTGCCTTATTTTTCCCTGCCTATGGCTAAATAAGTTATCTTAAAACTCTGAGTGGTATACAGTATGGAATTCCTGATGTCAGTTATAATATTTAGAATAACACCATCATTTTACAGATTTCTTCAAGATGAACTCCTAGATCTTGTCTTCTGGATATTCTCATTTCACTTCACATGGAATTGTCCATTCTACCAAAGATATTTGGTTTCTTTTAACATAAGCATCAATTTGATCCCCAAATGTTTCATTCCTTTGTTGCTCTGTGTTAAGCACAGGGTTTTTAGTATTTGCTTCCCTTAAGCATTTTCTGTTTATAGGCTTCATAGCAAATTAATATTCATCTGCTTTATGCCTTAATACTGTAGTATATTTATTTGCTATTCCAGATTTACAGATTTTTTTTTCAGAATTACAGATTTAGGAAGTGATAGAATGACATCCCTCTTCCTGGCTATTTAATACATATGCAATGGTTGACAAGTTTTGATAATTTATTTATGTGTATTTTGTTTTGGGATGTGGGGGAGGAGGAACTGGTTTTGCATTATTTTTCCTTTCTTTTTTTTTTTTTTGCTTCCTAATCACAGCACTGTAGAAAGAAAGCCTAACAGGATGCTCCCTGAATTTATATCCTCATGGAAGGATGCTGCAGATTTAGGTGGCAAAACAGAAGCTGCATTCCTTTTAAAAGAATTGGACACTCTGAGGGCCAAAAATAAAAAGGTACGATTGAGATATTCAGATCACAGTATTTGCTCTTTCGTGGTTTTCTTACAAAACATAACATTTTACGCTGTTCCTCATTTAGTTTTGTTACTTATTTTAGTGCACCGGTCAATAGTGTACTTGTAATTTTGGATTCTTAGTATCTGTTTAACAACTGCTTCTCTGGAATTAAAAAAATCTTTCATTCTACCCTTTGACTTTTTTAGTCAGTGACAGAGGTTCTCATGCCATGGATGAAAACCAAGGAGGACCAAAACCAAGGCCAGGATTTCATGAATAGAATCCGGAGATCATGTTTCCATACATGTGGTCCAGATAATGAACGTGCCCTGATACCTTCTCTTTGTTGAGGGGAAGAAAGTTCCGTCCTACCTGCACGCTGCATTGCTTCTAGCAGTTGCATGCGCCTAAACAATAGAAAAATCTATAGTCTTTTCCATGAAGTGTCATTAGCCTCACACTAGCTTCTGTGAAGAACATTCACTCTATTCCAGCTGAAACCAGGACAAATATTCAATAGCAAGCTCAGATATCTGTCCAAAAACAGAATTAGTGAATTTCCAGTTCAAAAAAAGACCTCAACGTGAAAGAATACCAGTTTTCCATCTGGTGATGCACATGAAAAATTATGCTTTTACACCACAGTCTCTTCAGGCTGTGATGTCAGTACTCTTGGTAGGAAATAGGGTATTCATGCAGACACCACCTGCATTATATCCCAATATGTAACTCTGAACTTAGCAAGGAGGATCACAGCTGGTGATATCTGAAGAAGAGAATACTAAGTAAAAATAATGGTACACACGTTGCTGCTTGCCTGTCAGAGCAAGATAGGGCAGATGATAAAAAAGTTGGTTTTAACATTCACCCTTTAAATAAATAAATAAAATTAATTAAACTTTTGTTGTATTACTTAGTGTTTGTATTTTGCAGGTAAGAAACTATTATTTAAGATTTTGTTGTGGATTAAAGAGCTGGTTGACCGTTTCTGCCAGATAAGAATCTTACTGTCCATTTGTTCAATTCAGCTTCAAGATAAGCTGTCTGAAAAGGACAAGGAGCTGAAGACAATAAAACTGGACTTAGAACTGCAAGAGAAAGCTACAGAAGCTAAGATTGCAGAAAAGATTGCAGGTACAGTAGGCAAGCGTGTAACAGATGGCTGTATGGCTCATACAGTACCCACAGTTGCTATATGACGTGGCCTAGTGAATGTTAGCTTTATTTGCTAAAGGAGGGAAGATTGGACTTTTTTTTGTGTGTGTGTGTGTGGCTATTTAGAGTTGCTTAGAAAATAGGTGGCTTTAACATCCTGGTACTGGTATTAGCAGGAGCTTTACCTGTATTCATACTGATTTGGGCATTAAATGCATTGTTAACACCATGTCAATCCAATCACAAAAAGGTTGTTTGTTTTGTTGGAAGGTCCTGAACAAACAAGGGGAAATAATGATTACCAGTGCCTCTACCTTTCAACCAGCAGTTCAAATACCACTTATTGTTTTAGCTCATTCAGAGCAATACTACCCCCTTCCCGTGTATAGAGATAGTCACACATTCACCTCAACTAGAGACCTGCACTTTCCTTGAAAAAGCCATTCTTTTGGTAGTTATAATGGATTTTTTGTCTGATGATGGTATATCTCCAGTGAATGAAGTTTATAGAAATTCCCAAAATGAAAGGTTTTTAGGTTTATCATTGAAAGTGAATGCATGCTTGTATTTTTTGTTAATTGTTCTTTGGGCAGACATAAAAGAACGGAGACAATTTCTAAAGTAATGAAGCTGAGTATTTTTATTATTGAAAAGTGACTGTGTGTACAGTGTACCCAGTGGATGAAAAATACTCTGAGGTTTTCTCCAAGTGTTTCAAGGAAATTAATGGGAGTGCTTTTATAAATTGATCATATCATTGGTTCATAAATAAAGTGTAAGCTAGGTAAAATTGTGTCCTCATAGACCACGGACACTTCATATAGTATTAATAGTACTAATACATGTCCCCAAAAGGTTGGTACTGAAGGGAGAAGTAATTGCCTTCAGGAAAATGGAGCAGAAAATAAACTCTCCAGCTGAAAAAACAGATGGCTGACTTTCCATTTAATGTCAAACTCCTGAGAATACAGTATTCGGTGTGTATTACAGATGGAAGAGAAAGTTCCTAGATTTTCTGTGATGGAAGAAGGGAAAGATAAATCTGATCTATATATTAGGAAACCAATTGAAATGCAGGCATAATTTTATACTTACTTCGTTTTACATAAACTTCTTGCTTTATTTTCAGAAGAAAAAAGATCCACACTGTGCATCATAGTTATATCCAGCAGCTAAAAGCTAATGCAAATTGTCTGGGTTGAATCCCAAGTTTTGTGTTTGTTCCCGGATATTTGCACAGTGTTTTACCTCTGCACCTATAATAGAGAAATATTCTCTTTGATATAGGTGTTCATTGCTCATTAAAAGCTGGAAAGAAATGTGTGTCAAAAGGTGTGTCAAAAACATGTTTAGTTTCATTTTTATGATTACAGTTGAAATATTTGTTAATAAACCATTTTTTCCTATGCTAGTGTTTAAACTTTATATCCTAAGCGTAATATTCTCTTCAAAACAGTGTGGCATGAATATGGATATAATAATTAACATAGTTATTCCATTTTAAAAGGAAGAATAAGGCACATTTTAACAAGAGCTATAATGTGTAATAAGGATGACCTTTAAAAAAATACTCTTTTTTTTTTTTCCTTTTACAAGTTCAGGAGGTATAAAATCCTTTAAATGTTGAGACAGAGGGCAAGAGGCTCCTTACTACTTAAGCTGTTTGCAAAAAGGAAGCTTCGTTAATGTTTCATGGTTTTTTTGCTTCCTGTAGTACAGTTCTGAGAATATTACCAAGTTTGGATAAATGCTTTGAAATCTGGAATGATGTGAACCAAACTGAATTTGTGGAGGTCTATGTGTCTCAAAAGCCTTGGGGAGAGTTCTAACAGACAAGTAGAACCTAATAAAGAAGACTCTGTGTTTAAGGAAAAACATTTTCCCCTTGTGTTAAGTCCTTTGAGGAAAGGAGAACACATGCTGCTGTGATTTCATGTTGCTAGTTAATGTTTAATTACTGCAGTGTATAGCACAGGCTAGAGTGAAGCTTGTAAATATGGGTGTTTGCATTTTTATTATTACTTAGTACTGACTTTATGATAAGAAAATGACTCCACAAAATTGTATTGTAAAAAACATCAGAAAGGTACACCATAAAAGTGTTATCTACTTTGAGGAATATTACAATTCTATTTTAAAATGTAGCCCTCTAATTGATGGGTTTTACCTAAACAAGTCCCATGGAAAGAACAGAAAAGCTGAAGGCAAAGGCCATTTTAAAATGTAGCTACAACAATCTTTAGAAACAAATAACCCAACACTTGTCAAGGGAAAACATGTAAATTTGTGAAATGCTTCATGAGAGAATAAGAAAAAGTAGAGTTAAGGCAGAAGATATACATGGTCATAAAATCATAGAATAGTTTGGGTTGGCAGGGACCTTTAAAGGTCATCTAGTCTAACCCCCCTGCAATGAGCAGGGACATCTTCAACTAGATCAGGTTGCTCAGAGCCCCATCCAACCTGACCTTGAATGTTTCCAGGGATGGGGCATCCACCACCTCTTCTGGGCTGTGGGTGCACATTGCCGCATCCTGTCCAGCTTTTCATCCACCAGTACCCCAAGTCTTTCTCAGCAGGGCTGCTTTCAGTCCCTCAGATGGTGGAAAAAAATGTTTATTATTGTGTGCAGTAAATAATTTATTTTAACAGATTAACAGATCTCACTTTGGATGGACACAAGAAGTGACTTCGTTTTTTTCCTAACAGAAGAATTATACAGGGGGTATATAGGAACCTCTAGAGGAAAGAGCTGGTTGAGTGTGAGAACTGTAGAGCATAGTAGTAGCCTCTCTAGACTGGAAAAATTATCAAAGGCCTGGTCTTCTCTCAGTAACTCCCACCATTACTGCTACAAGATACACCATAGTTGGCATTAGAGCCTCAGCTCTTGGAATATTTTTGTTGCTGTCACAGTGCTATATATTGGGACTAAGAATGAAAGGAAAGGAAACTGAAAGGAAAGGAAGGAAAATGAAGGAAATTTTAATAAAAAATATGTCTCCTTAAACCTTTCCGTAGCAAGGGCTATTCTGTGAGGGTTTTTTTTGCCAATATCTGGTAGTAATGTTACCAGAATTTAATACTTTTTAAAATTAGAGTTAACTTGGCAGGAAGAAGTGGATTGAGTCCAGCCCTACTAGGCCTATTAGGTGTTGCACACCACCTTTAATGCCTGAAAACTGCGTTAGCATTCCGCAGATGCTCTCTGAAAGACCAGGGTAATGACAGGAAATACAGTGTGGAAAAAGGGGAAAGCGGTACTTCTAATACTGTTGTATATGTTATACAGCTTTCAGTCTCTTGGAAACTACAGCAATATACCTATAATGAAGTCCCTTTTTTCAGGTCTGTTTTTACAAAAATGTTGAGAATTAGTATTTGTGGTATTTTGGAATTCTTGAATATGGTATGGAAATGTTCATGAACATTATTTGAAGTTTTCTGAATTAACTTGAAAAATAATTACTGAATGCATATGCAATAGTTTTAGTAGCAAAAGTGAAAAGAAATATCCAAGTAGCTATTAGCTTAGAGTTAGTTTGATTTAATATCCCATAAAGTAAGAGGAAATAAGTAATCTTGCCAGTAATAAACTTTGGGTGGCAATAACAGAAGAAAAGTATTTTCCATTTCTTCAAAGCTCACTTTAGTCCCTTTTTAGATGTTATTTTTCTTTCTTGCATGTCATCCATTAAAGATTAGCTGTGGAAGGTTGGAGCATGGAGAGATTATGAATGACAGAACAACTCCTGCAGAATAATAATCAGTTTTTGGTATTTAATGCTGTTTGACTTTTGCAGACACATTTCTTATTAACCTTTGGTACAAACAGAAATCCAGGTTCCTGATGTCTCATGAAGAAGATGAATTCAAGATCCTCTTCCAATTAAACTGAAATAAGGCCAATATTGGGCTTTAGCCAAAAGAACTCAGTAGTTCCCAACCCTTGTGTTTATAAACCTAAATATGAATGATATTTTACAGTTTAAGTAATGCATATACTTTCCTAACTCAGTTTTTTGTGCATAATTCATGTGTATATATAGTCGATATAGTTCTTAGGGGTTTTGTCCTATTAATGTTTTGTTATGCAAAACTATTTCCTGAATATTTTTTTCAAAATATTTCCTGGTAAGTAACAGAATTTTGAAAACAGCTGTATTTGAATCCTCTGTATGGGAAAATAGACAATCCATCTAAAGGACAGAAAAAAAAACCCAAGGTGGAGGTGTGTGATTGAGAACATCTTGGCTTAATTTTTGTCAGCTTAATTGGAAACAATGTAGTATTACCTTCGGATTGTCAGAATTGTTGATTGTCAAAAAGTTGCGTGCAGCTCTTTGAAGTGCAATATATGATGAGCTGGCATATGTTAAAATGTAAATGACTAAGCAATTTACGGGTGGAGCTTGTATGTAAAAAGCAAGCCAGTATCTTCTGCATATTTTTATGATTAGTCTGGCCCTTCTCTCTTCCCCACTACAGTGCTAGATGAACATAAAGAATTGGGTTTTATTCGGGAATAAAAAGGTCTGCAAATAATCTGGTTCTTGGGGTGTTAGAAAAACTTTTCTTTAACCTGTCAAATTATAATTTGCAAACTTTAATGCAACATTTATGTTTTTCCCCCAAGAGTAAATATTCAGGCATCAGTAATTATTCGCTGAAAAAAGTTTAACAGCATTATGGTTTGAATTTTGAAGTCAGCTGTGTTTAGTGTATTAGAAGCAGAGGCTTAAGTATTGTACAGGGATTGGCTTTCACAAGAACTGCCTTGGGGTCTGTGTATAATACTCTGTCCTATTCTTTCCCACTTATTTTTTTTTTAATTGAATCGGGATCTGAGTACACAAAGAAAACCCTATGCAGAGCTGCCACTAAGCAACTTTAGCCTTTTATTAAGAACACTCTGTTTATAGCATTGGAAACGCAGGAGCAGATGAATGCTATGCACTAAATACATACAACAAACGCAA